GCCCTGATGGGAACCAGAAGATTTGCAAAGGAAATGTTAGCTACCCTTATCTTCAGAACTACCCGAATTTTTGTTAAAATTTTACTGCTACTGCAACCCATCTGGGTCTGTTGCAGCCAGTCTGCACCCAGGAAAACACTTCTAATATCCTTAAATATTATCTCTCCATCGATGCATGTATCTGCCTCACATTTCCACTTTTTAGACTATTTCCTATCCCCCATGCGTGCTATATATGACGCCCCTCTCACATTTATTTGCCCACTCTAATAATGACAGGTGTAGATGACTAAACATGAAATTCTTCATATTATTATATAAACATCTCCTCCTATAGCTTAATTTTCCTTAGGTTCAAATATTCTTCTAAATGCCTAGTTCTAGAGCGACCTACCGTTCCTTACGTATTTCACTCGCAGTAAGGGACAAAACTACACACCCACACAAAACATTTTTCAAAATCACGTTTGAATCTTTTGGTTTCTAAACACAAGATGAGATATAGAAAAGTTTACCTTGAATGATAGCAAGAAATCGCCGCATTTCATTTGGTATCTAACATCTCTGTAAGAAACAGTCAATTTCTTATATTAGAATGTTTTTATGTTGACATAAAATTTCCATGCGGTTTTCCCAGAAGACTACTCTTAGTAGTGACCATTGTGATAACCTCAAATCCGGTATAAAAATCTCAATCCAGAAATGATACGGAACGCCACATCGCTCTCAGCGGATGCACTGCTGACATCTGCAGGGAAGTATCCGAACTGCCGAAGTTCGGGCAGTAGGAATGTCCTTAATCTCAGCCCCAGTTTCACCCTTTACCAGTCCTGAACCTCACCTCGGAAGTAAGAAAAGCATTGCTAACTTTAACTCTCATGAGACTCGTGCAGTCCTACCCTCCACCAATCCAAAATTACCAGCAGGGGTTAAGACTTCCCCCCCCCTTACGCATTTCTCTCCCTCTATGAACCCCACATCTGCCTTCCTTCCCGCCTTACACACGAACATCTGTATCATGTGTGGTTCTGAAGTCAGCTGGCCTAACAGGAACACAAAATAATTGAAGCTACTAGTGTGCCACCTTGTCATTCCGCAGCGCAAGCAGCTTACAGCTGAGTCCTAGGTTGAGTAACGACCAGTGACGCCTTCACACACGCCTTGTTGCTGAATCTTCTCTTGGGCCTTTGCGTCATGTGGATGCCGGTAGTGCATCTGACGTTTCGGAGACGCACTCTGCCTCTTAGCGGGATAAGTGAGTGTTCGTTTATATAAAAGTTTTGATCTAGTACACCCGAATGTGGGTGTGGCCTGGTGCAGGATCCGGACCAATAGAGACAGTGGACAGAAAAATATTGTCTCATGATTTGGGTGTGACTAGAGACGAGGTTTGAATTGGAAACTGGATTTGCTGGACATCTGCAGATCGCAGCTACAATTAACTACTTCAAAGAATATCGTAACTAAAGCACACATTAATTCTTCTCAGTCTTCATTATCCGTTGCTTTGTAGCGGCTCTCAACGACGGGCATTCCCCTTCCTCTGTGTTTCCGAACTCTCCTCAGCCTCAGCTACCAGCTTCTTACTTCTCAAAACTTAAAGTTTTAGCTGACAATTCAAAATTATGTTACAGTCGATGGTCAGTCGGCCACTTTATCTTGGTGTCAAGCCGAATATGGGGCAGGACAGATTTCTATTATGGTCAGACAGATGCAGGTTTGTTGATGTGGGGCGCCCTCTCTGACGATAGGACGGGTCTGTCGTTTACAACTACTGCTGGCCGTAGAGAGGGCAGATATATTTATCGCGGTAGCTGACAACTGAACTGCTAGTCCTCGTTATATAGTCCGGGCACGGACCGCACAGAAAGCATCTATTACATTATTACCTGTTCTCTCATTACCGGAGAACCGTGTTCACAGAGCTGTTCCCTAGCAACACTGTTATACTGTGACTTATTTACAACGTTGTTACTTGGCATTGCATCTGTGTGTCACAATATTATTGAAATTAGCCTATTTAAGGACCACCGAATGCACTTCTAAGCCCGATTCTATTCTTACTGTCGGTCCGTTGGAGAAAATTCTATATATCAATGCACATTAACGCACCCTATTCACTTTAAGAGTGAAAATTTTCACTCCCGAAACATCGAAAATTTTACCCACATTCACACGACCCTGTTAAAGCCTGGATTCCCTCTTGACACTCCTAACCGTCTCTGAGCTTATACAAATATTACCGACTGAATCGGTTGCCGATTTTAACTGCTTTCGTTGTAACGTATACAGACGTATTAAGATCATCAGCCTCGTAAAAACGAAGCACATCTAATTAATATTTAGAAATGCAGTTTATTACCAAATTTAGGAAAACTTTTGCTCTGTGTCGCTCAGCCTCCCCTCTGCTTCTGTTCTTCTTTGCTTGGCCTAATCTTGGGCCCTTAAGATGGAGGCGAAATGTTCCTCCGAAACGTCAGTTGAATTTTATCGGATTGCATGACGTTATGTTTTCGTAGCCACCGCTGTGACAGCTCACATTCCACAGAGACTGTCTTCTTCAAAATAGCCTGTTTACACGACCGTCTCTGTGGTCTAGTGTTCAGCATTCCTAGCTACAGATCCAGAGGTTCCGGGTTCGATTCCCGGCGCTACCAGATTTTTTTTCTGAGAAGTAGTGAGTCTGGAACGGGATCCTCTCAGCCTCGTGAGGATAATTGTGGAGCTATTTCAAGGAAATAGCGGCTGTGGCTAGAAAACCGAAATTAACGGCCGTGGGAATTCGTTGCTGACCACGCGACACCCTCTATCCGCAAGAGTTGGCACTAAACTTCGCCGACAGGCGGCGGTCGCTCGGTCGGTATAGTTCGCTTGGGGACTAAAATCACGGAGTTTTTTTTTTTATTTTCTTTGTTTTATGTGAATATGTTTTGTAAACGTGAGGTCTGTCCTTGTCATAATGAAATTTCGGTATACCGCAGAAAAAAATCGTAGAATATTAACATGACGCATGAACGTACGAAGTACACCTGATGATGGCCAATTACGACCGAAACATGTAGTGTAGAAGAAGAAAAGACAAAGATCTACAACCAAATTAAAAAAATTGTTGCATTCACGACGGCGTTTGTATTATTACATATAGTGTATAGTGCAAGAGGATGCTTAAATATAATATAGTACGAAGTAAGTTACGTAAAATGTCACGAACGAGCGAGAAACTTTCCGTTTCAGTGTATCGTGTCTATTATTTGAGTACTAACAATACTCTGATATAGATATGTGAAGTAAAGTGTAGTATACGAAGAAGATGATTCATGATAGACTATTCGATCGTGTCACTCGTGGGTGATGGCTACAAATCGACCTCGACGCATCATTCGATAAGATGTAGGATTACAATTGAATAAAGGAAGAAATAGTAGAATTAATACTATGACAATTTGTATAACAAACTGTGACATTTTCCGTCGAATTCTTAGCGGGTGTTACACCAGTACTTCTAGATTCTTTCCTCATTTCACAGATTTTTTTTTTTATTATTTCAGCTTTATTACAGAGTTTTATCTGCACTGATATTCTCAATAGTTTGTGTGCCTGGGATTTTACTGAAAAGTTATTCCTTGATCCACGAGTCCTTCCATCACTGTGACTTAAAGCCGCAATGTTCTAATAACGAAGGAAAATAAAAAAAAAACGCAAAGTAGAAATAACAACGTGAGTAAATGACATTTTCATGCTGCTAATTGATTAAAGTTTTTTCCCCGCTTTGTTCTTGAGGTAATTACAAAGGCTTGTGATGTTCTTAATCCAAAATAAAAGCAAAAGGAAGCAAATATAAAGGAGAACTGAAGAGATGAGCCAGACCCACGAAGGACCTCAGACAAATATATTTTTCTTTGAGGAAAAGTTATCAGAAGAGGAATATAATACAGTCTATACCGTTAGTGAAAGGATGAAGGTAAAGTTGCTTCTAAGGCAATTACAGTTTGTCTTAATTACGCATAAGATAAATAAAGAAAATAACTTAAGTAAGACAAACTACTCCCAGTATAAATACTCGTACCTTGATTGACGAATGTATATCTCTATGAATGGCTTTACTGTTTAACTGAGCTAGAAAAGCCACAGATATACGCGTAATTATTTACGAATTTAAATTATTTAGAAGTAATACATGAAGTTGTAAAATAAACAGAAATAACAAAGGAAACAATTCTTTTAAAGAAGACGATTTGTAGGAAAATATAGGGAGCCGCGGACTCGTCAACTGAGGAATCAGAATTTGATTCTCGTGTGAGGCAAGATGTGCTAGGTAGTGCCCGCAGCAGAAGAATGCAACAATAGAAGAAACGTTGAAAGCGGTGTTTCCTGTGAGGTCAGTTCCCAGGTTGTATAAAGAGGGCCAGCTGCCATTAGAAAAGAGTCTTGTGACGGCAGGGAGAAGAGTAGGAGGTAGGTTACCCGCCAGCCTGTTATGTTTAAATACAGTAGTACTGGTTTGTTTCTACACACTGTCCCGTGCTACAGATCCCCACTACATCAAATTCGTTAGTTCATAGGATTCAGCTCATGGAACTGTGCCACATGTAGGCAAGCAGTTAAAAGACTGTACGGAGACATAAAGAAGAGACAAATCAAAGCAAAATGAGACTTGTCTTGTTGGATATAAAGTCATATCATCTGATGATGAAAGTCAACTTACATTTCTGAGAAATATTTCGTCTTCATTTTCAGGTCGAAGAATAAGTCAAGCAAGAAACCATCAGGAAGCAGGTAGAGGGAGATTGGTTTGTGCCCTCTTTTTGCTGGGTTTTTTTTTTTGGCTTTTTATGTGAGCCAACTTATCAGATTCGATTTTGAGCGAAAGAATGGGAATCAAAACCTCCATATCAGAACCTCAGTCTTGTTGAGCATAAAAGGATCATATTCCATCACGTAACTACACAAGACATGTGATCTAACCTCAGAAATGGTTTTAGACAAACAGCGGAACTCACCCATGAAACCAGTTCTTCAAGCGCTTTGTAATTAAAATGCTGCACAGTGTCTCGCGCATGCGCCTGCTTTATCAACTCTCGCACCTGCAGACACAAAAGAAAACGAAATAAATGAACGCAGTGCACAATAAATAATCTCCTTAAACATGTCTTCGTACAGTCAGTCACGTATGACGTCAGTACTGGGGAAACGGAAGCTGCAATTTGGTGCTATTGCACAGAGTGTAATAGGTCGTATAACGACAATGTATTCTGTTTGTAAAGTTATTTTAAATAAATACTGTAACACGACGACTCAAAATTGGAATAGCGCATCAGCAGTATGCGTTCATTGCTAGGCAACGACACCGTAAACAGGTAACCGCGGCAACGAATATGTAAGCAACAAACGAAGTATTTTGAGCTATAACGATGAGAATAGTGTTTTCTGTGGGTCCGCCCCAAGGCTATATAAAGAGGATGCCAGGTAAGCTAGAATGATAACTGAGTGAGTCTCTCGAGAAGGCACTGGAAGATGACTGAGAAGAAATGGCAAGAAATGAATTGGGCTGTGTATGTTAATGAACTTTATTTATGTCAGGTAAAGGTAAGAGGGCCGGTCATGGTAGCCGAGCGGTCTAAGGCATGTACTGTCTTCGCTCGCTTGGAAACCGGGATCGTGGGTTCGAATCCCACTCAGGGCATGGATGTTTAGTTTGTGTGTGTGTGCGTTTTTCTGTGTTTGTGCACAGGTAGAGGCCTTCCGACGAGCTGATCACCCACCCAAGGAGTCCTACCGAATATGTAAGATCTAGAAAACCGAAGTGAACGGAGAAGTTTATGGAGGTAGGCCTAGGCCCACTGAAGCCGTAGTGCCAAGGGGGAAAAAAAAGTAAGAGGCCGTGAAGGTTCATATGGTTGTAAGACGTCGAGGCTCCCACATTTTCTAAACAGTCGTCTAATAGATGGCGGTGAAGTTGTCAGCCTCAAGCGCCAGGAGTGTAACCCCCTGGAAGATTCCTGGTACTAATTTCTGTTAGAGGCTGAGTCGACTCCAGGGCCACAGTGTGGCTGGAAGGATTAGGTCAATTGAAAAAAATTCACCTCATCGGGACTCGAACCCGCGACTTTCCGGCTTGTAGCACAGTGCCTCAACCAACTACGCAACCGTTTCCCTCCATATTTATGTCAGTTGATTTATAATTCATGTTTTACTTGTTAGGTCTGACCTATTCAAATTTTAGGTAGTTCACACAGATTCTATGGATGCCTCTACAGCAAGTTTCCCCAATTAATGTAACGAGCCCCTGCACGCGGTGAGTTGTCCAGAAAAGAAGTGCAGCTTCTCTGCGTTCTCCGTCCTACATCACGAGCCATGAAGGTGAATGTGTCTCTCTTACGTATGGCCGCCCCATAGCTCAAATGGTTAGTAGCTGGCTTCCCACAGCGGCGGCCCGGGTTCGATCCCGGGGTCTGGTCAAGTGGGATTTGTGGTGGACGAAGAGGCGCTGGGGCAAGTTTTCTCCGAGTACTTCGGTTTCCCCTGCCAATCTTCATTCCACCAACTGCTCCACAATCACCCTCACCTATCATCTGGGGCTGGTACAATAGGCCAGAAGTGGCCGCAGTACAAGGGACTTAGTCCCACCCCACTAGCAATAAGAAAAAACTCTTATGGATCTCAATTTCAGACTCAAGTTCTCTTGTCGTGCAAACCGCACTGCGTTGTTTAGAAGAGACAGCAGATGCTAGTAAACATAGAAACACTTGTAAACCTGTGTTCAAAGTCAACTAACGTTTCGGAAGAACATATCCCTTCCATCTTCATGGTCGAAGAATAAGCCAAGATAGAAAACCAACATGAAGATGACCAGCTACACAACTGTAGTGTTCTCATGAAAACAGTTCCTCTATTTCTAATTACTTTAATCAATTAAGTATCACGTCACAGAGATGTGTTGGGGATGGAGGAAAAGCTCCATACAATCTTGACGTCGACGGTAATTGGCCAGTTTCCAATCTGTTAAGAACTCTTGTAGAGAAAATAAAGTCATGATATATATATACTCGTGTATACATATATAGTTGATAAATAAAATTTTATATTCTCACACAAGTGACTATGAAGATTATGGTTTTGACGAATAATGAATTGTTCAAAACTCAGCAAATTTTTTTTTTGTCCATGATTTATTCTGACCGTCTTACAGTGCATACATTTATTCACCTTACTCTTCTCTCTTGCACTACATGTTTCAGCACAAAAGTGCCATCTTCAGGTGCTTTTCGATGTACGTCAAACTACTTCATTGCATGCCCTGTTGTATTTATACTAAAATAACTAAAATATATATTCGTCATATATATTGATAAATTTTAAATATTAAAAATATTAGAACTCTTCAAGATTTGTTATCCTTATATCTTATCTCAATACGCGAGTCACACCTATCTTCTTCTATAGGAGTATTCTTCCTACTTTCATGTGTGTACTGTGCTTTGTGTTGTGTGTTGCTCCTGTGACTGCGTGTGGTATACTGCTGTTATACTGTTATTTTTTTCTCCATTACGTTAAAGCGAGTCTGAACCCACTACATACTTTGACGAGTTCAGTCGTTAGCTACTTTGATGGCTATAAAAAGTAGCCGGATTAAATTTGAAATAGTTCGTTAATTCGACAACAGATGTCGCACCTGTGAAACTATAGCTAAGATATACGTATCTAGAACATTATTTGGATATATTTTAATTGATTTAATAACGAAATTTTGAGCTCTCTAATTAATTAGCCGATGGATTAAGTGAATTGAGTGGGGAGGCATTCATTTGGCTCAGATAAGGTCCAAGTCCTTTCCCTTGAACACGGTAATGAACCGCCGTATTAGGCGTGATCTCCAACACGTGCCCTAATTTCGTTGTACAGTGCTGCCTCACACCCAGAGAAATCTGAACAATAGTTAAATCAAATTACACGTCGAAGGAAGCAACGGAAAGTGTAACACTACATTTCATTAGCGTGCATCTATCATTAACATGAACCTGCCGATAGAGCCTGTAGAAGAAAGAAACAAGAATACATGACAGCTAAAAGAAAGGACGAGGTTAAATGAACCCCCCCATCCAAAAAAAGGAGAAGAAATTTGAGAACGACGTATGTAATTAATCATTCTTTCTTTCTCTCTCTCTCTCTCTCTCTCACTCTCTCTCTCTCCAGTTTCCTCGCCGTACTTGTGTTTTCGATTTTCTTCCCGTTTTGCTTTCCACTCTCGCACAGAAAGGAGCGGGTCTGAGCAAGAATTTAAACCCCGCACCCCCCAACCCGCTTCGTGAAGAGATGATTTGAGGTAACAGTAATCAGCTTTATTATTAATTAATTACCACCAACGCAATAAGAAAGCAAGAGAGTTGGTACGAGAGTCTGTATAGCGAATATAAAGAGGCTTATTAAATTGTTCTTTTCTTTCAAGATATTTCTTACTCAAAATTACGTGGTACTTCATACGACGAAATAAATTTTATTGTTAACCCTTGAAAGCACACTGGTTGCTTTATACTGCTCTTGCATTTGTAACCTCCGCGTAGTGCCCGAAGTGTATATACTTATGTGTTTCGTATGATTCTCTGAACAAACAACGAGTATTTTCCTAAATAGCTTTAATTGACTGGTCTCTGTAACTGAAAAACATTTTGTTCTCTGTTAAGTAGGAACTGAACTCTTAAATACGAGGTATCATTCAGATGAATTAACAAATTCGTCCATGAGCAATTTGGCTAGTGACCTGAAAAAAGTCTCACACCCAAAACTGACTTACTACGCTGTCTGCTTGGTTTTTCCCACCCTATTCAATCTTTTTTTTTGTGGGGGGGGGAGGTTCGTAAGGCTTCAGTGTTTTAAGACCCGATGCTGTGTTGGGCTGAGGCAACGACGCCTTCTTTTTGACGTAGGGGGTAACTCAGGGGGCACGCTGTAGCGTAGTTGTTTGAGGCAGTATGCTACAAGCCGGAAGGTCGCGGGATCAATTTTCGATGAGGTGGGTTCTTTTTCAATTGATCTAATCCTTCCAGCCGCACTATGACCCCTGGGGTGGACTCAGCCTCTAACAGAAAAGAATACCAGGAATATTCCAGGAGGTAAAGGGCTGCCGGCGCGTAAGGCTGACAACCTCACCGCCATCTGTGAGCCGATTGTCTAGACAATATGAGAGTCTCGACGTCTTACAACTCTATGGGCCTCCACCGCCCGTTACAAGGATAGCTTTACCTTTACATTTTTTTAAGCATATTAGGAGCAGATATCAGTGGCCTCGCGGTTTAAGGCCTGAGCTGTGTTCGCCTGCTCGAACACTGGGATTGTGGGTTGGAATCCCACCTGAGGCATGGATGTTTGTGTGCATTTATTCTATATTTGTGCTATCCTGTGTGTAAATAGCGACCTAGCGACAGGCTGATCCCCCGTCCAAGGAGTCTTACCTTTTGTGTAAAATATCAAGAAACTGAAAAATAGCAAGGTCCAACAAAGAGCTGTAGAGCCATAGATAAATAGATATGTATATTACGAACTTTATTTAAAACTATACCGACATGCGCGAGTCTTATTAGGCTATTAGAGCCTTACTTAGGACACTATGGATATATGTATAGGCCTTATTCGGTACACTAGAGACAGAACAATTTCTGACTCGTTCCAAAAGACAACCCATTCCCTTTCCGCATCGCTGAGGGACCTGGAGTAATTGGAGAATAACTGATGCATATGAAACAAAATCCGGAGTAAAACAGGGGAAAAGAAAAATGGAGACAATTACAAGAAGCCAGTATCGAAAGAAGAGCATTTTGTATAGCTCTGAGAGCAAGAAATCGCAAAATATATAATCAGAAAAAAAAACTTTATGACGCAATTAATTAAATCAGGAAAATAAAACTCTTGAATGTCTCGTACTTGAGGGACACAACAGCAGTTGACGTAACTCGAAGTCACACCGGAAGCTGGCCTTCTGCACGGACTCTACACCCACAGAGCGGAACGGTAGGCGCACTGCATATTACGTAAGATTCTCGTCTTCGATTTCAGCAGTGTGCGAACGATTGAAAATGGCGATCACATT